CAAAGAACAGTTTGCAAAGATAACTAGAAAGCAGATATTATGATTACAGGACTGATGACTACAGAACTGAAAATTGAAAGTATTGTTCAGAATTACCATCACTATGTTATGTTATCTGCAGCAAAAGAAATGCCTTCCGTCTATTGATGGAATTGTTTCCTTTCCTCACAAATATCCACTACCTTTGCCTCCCAATCAGAATACTCTTCAGGCTTCTGCCTGAATCAGTGCACCCTGAATAGTTATTCTTTGATCTCAAATAAGTGCTTCTTGTCTCTCACTGTGAAAGGCCTTTTATCTTTAGGTTGACATATCCTTAAACAATTGGTAAACTATCTTTGTGAAAGTCAGATGATTACTGCACATATCATATCCCAGGTAAATTTGAAATATGTTAAAGTGTTAAGTATAAAAATTATAACACAAATGTATTTAAAAAACTATATAAATGAATAATCCTATGATTGGGTTGGGGTAGGCTTTTTACACAGAAAAACAAAGCTGGAAACAAAATATAATAATAGATATAATTTCATAAAAATCTAAAAATATGTTTAACAGCAGTGCATAAATAGCATCAGAAGCCAAATGTCGAACTGGGAAAAATATGTGTAATGTATAGCGAAGGATTAATATCTTTAAAATATAAAGATTTCAATGGAATTTACTTACTATTTATTAATTTAAAATTTTTTTCTTTATTGATTTTAGGGAGAGAATTAGGGAGAGGGAGAGAAATATAGAAACATCAATGAGAGAGAACATCGATTGGCCACCTTCTGCATGCTCCCCACTGGGGATTGGACTCACAACCTAGGCATGTGCCCTGAGCAGGAATTGAACTGGTGACCTCTTAGTGCATGGGTCAATGCTCAGCCACTGGCACACTGGCCAGGCTTCAGTGGAATTTAATGAACAAACTGAACTACCAAAGAAAATAGAGACAGACTCATAGATAGAGAGCAGGCAGACAGCTCTGGTGGGGGGGGGGCGGTGTAGGGAGTGGGGATTGAGCACAAAGAGGGAGAATCATGGACATGAACAACCGTGTGGTGATGGCAGGGTGGGGGTAAATGGGTGGGTGGAGGTGGAAGAGGGCATAGAGGGGATAAAGGGTGTTAGAAAAAGTAAAATAAAATTAATTAAAAATTAAAATATAAAGACTTCTTACTAATCAGTAGAAAAAGCTGACTATACTAGACAAATAGGCAATGGACATAAACAATAAATTTTCAAAAGAAATACAAAGGGCCGCCCAGCTGATGTGGTTCAGTGGATTGAGAGCTGTCCCACGGACTGAGCGGTCCTGGTTCAATTCCGGCCAAGGGCACGTACCTCAGTTGTGGTTTGTCCCTTGCCCCGGTTGGGGTCATGTGGGGGGTCATGTGGGTGGCAACCAATTGATGTGTCCCTCTCATGTAGATGTTGCGCTCTCTCTCTCCCTCCCACTCTATCTGAAGATAAATGTAAAAATATCCTTGGGTGAGGATTAAAACAAACAAAAAAAAAAGAAATAAATACAAAGGGCCAGTTGATATATGAAAAATGTGCAATTGGCTTATAATCAATGGAATTCAAATTAAAACAATGTGATAGCATTTGTCAGTTATTAGGTTCACAAGGATTTAGAAAGTGATAGTAATTACTGTTAATGAGAGTTGAGATGAACCATTCTTACTCATTGCTGATGCAAGTGTAAACTTACAAACTTTCTAGGGTGCAAATGCCATTAAAAACCTTAGAATTATTTTTATCTTGTGACTTGTAAGTTGATTTCTAGGAATACAGCTGAAAGGTATCATCACAATGTGAAAAAATACAAGGGTTTTCACTGCAATGTTATTATACTGGAGAATCAAAAACAGCCTAAATACTCAAAAACTGAGAAATTGCTATTTATGACATGATGGAGGCAGAGATTGAAGTTATGTTGCCACAAACCAAGGAACTGGTAGGGCTACCAGAAGCTGGAAGAGACAGAAAGGATTCTCCCCTAGAGCATTCAAAAGGGGCATGGCCCTGCCAATACCTTGATATTAAACTTCCAGCCTCCAGAACTTTTGAGAATAAATCTTTGTTTGTTTTTTTTGTTTGTTTGTTTTTTTATCCTCACTCGAGGACATTTTTCCATTTTTTGTTCAGATAGAGTGGGAGGGAGAGAGAGAGAGAGAGAGAGAGAGAGACATCGATGTGAAAGGGACACATCGAGTGGCTGCCATCCGCACGACCAACCAGGGCCGGGGACAAACCGCAACCGAGGCACATGCCCTTAGCAGGAACCGAACCCGGGTCTCTCTGGACCACAGGCTGATGTTCTAACCGCTGAGCCAAATTGGCCAGGGCAATCTTTGTTGCTTTAAAAATATTTATGACACATCCACGCCATGGCTGGTGTGGCTCAGTTGGTTGAGCATTGTCCTATGCACCGAGAAGTCACTGGTTAAAGTCCTGGTCAGGACACAGGCCAGAGTTGAAGACTCAATCCCCAGTAGAGGGTGTGCAGAAGGCAGCCAATCAATGTTTCTCTCTCTCTCCCTCTCCCTTCCTTTCTCTCTAAAAATAAATTATATATATATACTTTTGTTGTTGTTAATTCTCAGTCAAGGATATTTTTTCTATTGCTTTTTAGAGAGAGTGGAAGGTATGGGGGAAGGGAAGGAGGGAAGGAGGAAGAGAGAGAAAGAGAAACATCGATGTGAGAGAGACACATTGATTGGCTGCCTCCCACAACCACCCGATCGGGGCAGGGAGTAGAATCTGCAACCCCAGGTACATGCCCTTGACTGGGAATCAAACCCACAACACTTTGGTGCATGGACCAACACTCTAACCATTGAACCCTGCCAGCCAGGGCAGTAAAAACATATTTTAAAAAATAAAATAAAGAATATTTATGGCACATCCATATGGTGGACTATTATGAGATAATTTTTAAAGATGTTCTCAATATTTGATGGCTTGGGACAATATCCATTATATAATTTAAAAAGCAGGATACTAATTTTTATATACAGTAGAAACACAATTTTGTAAAAAAACAAAACAAAAAACCTTTCCATATATATGTATTATATATGTATAATACATGTTTATATTTATGCACACCCATATATATAGACATGCACGCACATACAGATATACATAGAAGAAAAACTATTCATCATTATAGTACACAGGTATTGGGCTTATAAGTAATTATTGTTTCTTTTTCATACTTTTCTACAATCTGTGCACAATAGATAACATAAAATTGACTGTTTTAACCATTTTTTTTTAAGCGAGGGAGGACGGAAGGGAGAGAGAGCGAGAGAGAGAAACATTGATGTGAGAGGGACACATCGATTGGTTGCCTACCGCATGACTCTAGCCAGGGCTGGGGATCAAACCTTCAACCCACGTATGTGCCCTTGACTAGAACCGAACCTGAGAGCCTTCGGTCCTCGGGTTGACACTCTAACCGCTTAGCCAACCATTTTAACCATTTTTTTAAAACTTTTTGTTGTTGTTGTTTAGATAGAGTGGGAGGGAAAGAGAGAGAGAATCATCAACATGAAAGGGACACATCGAGTGGCTGCCACCTGCACGACCCAACCAGGGCCGGGGACAAACTGCAACTGAGTTACGTGCCCTTAGCGGGAACTGAACGCGGGTCTCTCTGGACCACAGGCCGACGCACTACCTCTGACCCAAACCGGCCAGGGCCATTTTAACCATTTTTAAGTGTATGTGCATTCCTTTTAAAATTAGGAGTAATTGTTTATAAATAAGCATGCAGTGAGTAGGCTCTAAACTTGGACCTACATTATGGTTACAATAATGTGGCAATTATTTATTTGTTTTGACAAAAGCCAGGAAAGGATCACAATCCAGACAGAAGAAAGGTTTGATGGACTAGAGCAGCAGAATTGGGTGTCATCATGATGTCTATTATTCTGAAGGCAACTTTTCTTTATAGGTGGAGATAAGTACCTTCAGACTTTTAGTGCTGAGGTAAGTGGGGTCCAGCCCAACCAAGAAAGCCATGAAGGGGAAGCTGGAAGCCACTGAGACTGTGGAGGGACAAGTTAAACATGTGGGAAAAAACAAACTTAGCTGGGACTGATCATTTAAAACTGGATTCAACTGACCCCAAATTAATATGTAAGCAGTGCTTCAGGAACATGTATCACTTGTATAATTAGGATTTTCCCAGAAGAGGCCGGGAAGGCAGGCAAGCTTATGGAACAGAGTTTAATGGAGGCTAGCAGAGAGCAAGTACGGTTAAAGGCAGATGTGGAGCCTCAGAGTTCTCAATTCTGAGCCCGTCTTCACTGTGCAGACTGCTTGTAACCCCCAACCTTACTTGGCCCACTGATTTTTAAAAAATCAGAATTGGTTGCTTCTAGGCTTAAGCCAATTACTTACTTTGGGACCTTGGATACCAGGATGTTGCTTCTGTAGTCTACGGAGAAAATGGGAGTTCCCCAGGTAGCAATTAGGAAAACGCAGGGCCAATCCCACTAAGACACCAACCCATTTCAAATGTAGTTACTTCCTAGGCAAGGAAGTCAGGGACTACTGGAGCTTGGTTATCGAATTGCTCCTGACTTATTTTGATTCTTTCCAGTTTGTCTCACGGAGGTAAGGGGTGGCTAGGAAAGGAAGAGTGCCATCTCCTCCCTGTGGAGGTCCCAGGGAGAGGGAGCTAGGAGGCTGACTTGATGTCATGAGCAGTGGCAGCTATAAGAGAGGAAAGAAAAGAGAGCTCCATCTGGAGGGGTGATAAGAGCCCTAAAAAAGCAGAGTATTGGAAAGAAATGGCAGCTTAGGCTAGAGGCAACAGCCCTGAGGTTAGCAGCACAAATGCCCTGCAGAGGGAGTTTACACGGTATTTTGTGTGAGCAGTCACGATCTCCTTGGGAACCTGGCATTGCTCAGGGTCAGTGTTCTCTGCTGTTCTTATCCACTCACCAACACTTCAAGGCATCTCCCTACCCCCACCATGCAACACCACTCCTCACCTGCATCTTCCTCTTCATTGTGTCAAAGGGAAAGGAGAGGGTCTGGGTCACTGCAGCAGCCAGACAGACATTGGTAAAGTTCTGGAGGAGAGAGAAGCGATCTCGGGGTCCATTCCAGATTTTCTCCAGGTTCATGTAAACTAGAAGAGAGCCAGCAGAGAAAGGGAGAGCACCTGCAAAACAAGGCCAGGAAGGGGCTGCTGAGCTCTAGGGAAACACTGGCTTCAGAACATAAACGCCTGTGGGGAATCCAGGGCAAGTAAACAGGACCCTCTCTCTGGGCTTGTTAAAATCACTCCAACTAAAGCAGCGGGGCCATTCTTGGGTGATGATAATGTTCTCTATTTTAGGGGTTGTGTCATTTGTCAAAATGCATCAAATGGTTCAGAAAATATTTTCTGTTTACTGTATATAAATTTTACTTCGAAAAGAACCATAAGTAAATATTGAATTGTAATCTAGTTCATGATACTTGTATCGAAGGGTTGAGGGATGAAGTGTATTGATGTTTGCAACTTACAGAAATCATCAAAAAATATATAAGATGCCTGGCCAGTGTAGCTCAGCGGTTGAGCATCAACCCATGCACCAAGAGGTCACTGGTTTGATTCCCAGTCAGGGCACATGCCTAGGCTGTGGGCCTGATCCCCAGTTGGGAGCATGCAGAACGCAGCCAATTGATGTTCTCTCATCGATGTTTCTATCTCTCTCTCCCTTCCTCTCTCTCTAAAAATCAATAAAGAAAAACAAATATAAAATTTTTCTTTTTTATCCTCACTCGAGGACATTTTTCCATTTTTTGTTCAGATAGAGCGGGAGGGAGAGAGAGGAAGAGAGAGAGAGAGAGAGAAACATCGATGTGAAGGGACACATCGAGTGGCTGCCACCCGCACGACCAACCAGGGCTGGGGACAAACTGCAACCGAGGCACGCGCCCTTAGCGGGAACCGAACCCGGGTCTCTCTGTACCGCAGGCCGACGCTCCAACCGCTGAGCCAAACCGGCCAGGGCCAAATGTAAAATATTTTTTAAAACATATAAGTGGACTGATGAATGACTAGAGGGATGGACAGATATGTGATAAAGCAAAACATTAATTGTAGCATCTAGATGGTGGGGTATGGGTGTTTCTAATTCTTTTAACTTTTCTGGGTGTTTGAAATTGTAAAAAATAAAATGTTGGAATAAAGTTACTCTCATAAGAAAAAGTTGGTAGCTGCTCTTAATCAACTTTTGGAGGCTAGGAGGGACTGGTCTGTAGCGGAGAAGGAAACATTCTGTGAAAACTAGAAAGTGAGACTGTAGTGGTGAGGGAGGTTATCTGACTTTCCTCACCTTTCTAGGAAAATATGGTGAGCAAGGAGTACAGTAGGTGGCACTTCCACACATTTCCAGAAACTTTGGGAACCATCTTAATTTTACAGAGGGACTAAATTTCTCCTTCAAAAAGGGATTTAAAAGAGGGGATAACACAGTGGAGTTGCTTTGTCCTTAGAATAATAGATTTATATTTAATAGACACATTAAAAATGATGTACCAGCCCTGGTTGCCTGGCTCAGTTGGTTGGAGTGTCGTCCTGTACACCAGAAGTTTGCTGGTTTGATTCCTAGTCGGGGATTGTTTCTCTCTCTCTATCTCTGTTCCTTTCCCTCTCTCTCTAAAAATCAATAAACATATCCTCAGGTGAGGATTTTAAAATTAATTTAAAAAATAGATGTACCAACTCCCCATTTACCTTCATTCAGAAAACATTTGTGGAGCTATGTTATGTGCTGGGACCTAGGCCAGGTACAGGAATACAAAGAAGAGTAGGCTAATTCCTGGAGAAGCTCACCATCTGGTGTTGAGACAGTTCATAGTCGTCATAAGGGTGGGGATGGGGGTGGGGGAGGGGTGGGCAGTGCTATACAAAGTGCTTTAGGTACACATGGATCAGAGGGGTTAATTTTGCCTGGGAGAATCAGGAAGGACTTCACAGGAGAGAGAACTTCTCAACTGGGTCTTGAGGAATGAGGAGTTCATCAGACGGAGTGGACAGGCAGTCCAGGCAGAAGGCACAGCATGTACAAAGGGAGTACAGTCGTCCCTCGCCACTTTGTGCTTCAACTTTCGCAGCTTCACTCTATTGCGGTTTTGTCAAATATATTCATTAAAGAGTTGATCGAGACTGAAAATGATACAGCGCACGCTCGGTTGTCTGAGTCAATTATACACCCCTGTATTACAATTACAATGAAAATTACTGTACGTATGGGCCTACGTATTCGAGCACCCCCGCAAATCCTTCAATGCCAGGTGCAACCCCTGGACCACTCCTTGTGTGTGGGCAATAACTTTTTTCCAAAAAATTGGGTGTGGTGAAACCAAGCCAATCAGAGCATGCTGTTCACTGACTGGCTATCCTGTCCTCTTCCTATCCTGGCCACTGATTGGCTCAGCCTCATGCAGGTTTGTTTCTCTCATACACACTTCTACATCACTACACATCAGAAGCATCTTTGCTCTTGTGTTTGCGATTTCTGAGAACTTTTATCTAAGCCCCACGATGGCTCCTACACGTGCTTCTTCTTCTAAGCCTTCTGATGATGAAACTAAGTGGAAGAAGATGACGATGCACCTGCTGAAGATACTGCACCACCTGAAGAACTATGTGTGTGTGGAGCCCTGGCACAGGCTTCAAAGACCACATAATCTACAACTGCTACCCTGGTTGTGCTCATATGTGCATGTATGCACACTGAGATTCCTTCGTAAAGCCAGATGGGGAGTGTGTGGATTGTCTTTCTATCAGTTTGTGCAGAGCCACCTCCATGCTCTGTCATCCACCCCTCTCTGGGATGTAACAGGCCAAAGTTAGGAGTGGGGTGTATGGTGTGAAATAGAATGAAGCTAAGTGGCCCTATGTGGATGAAACCCATATGACCTTGACCCCAAGAAAATGGATTTAACTGGCTATAAAGGTATACAACATATTTATATATGTAAAAGAATGCAGCTTTTCTTTGGACAAGACAAACATTTCCATCTTACCTAAAATTGTAAGGGAAATCCCTCGGTAAAGGGCCAGGAATCCTTCCTGTTGATAAACAGTAGAAAAAGCATGGAGGATCCCCCTATAAGATGGTTCCAGCATATTCTGCACAATCAAACGTGTTTTGATGAGGTCAGTAGGATACGTCACAATAGTGGAAACCATGCCTGCAAGACTTCCAGCCATGATGGCACTCCACTGGGAAATATGGCCTAGGTCATCCATGAAGAGTATGACAAACCTGGGAGGAAACAGGGGGAGAAGCCCAAGGGAATCAGCTATGGATTGTGCTAGAGTGTTCTACACTACTCACACATCTTCCAGCGTTTGGAAGTGCTTTACAAAATGAAAAATACCATACCAATTGATTAGGATTAGTGAATAACACATTCAACTCTATTATATTTATATAATTCTAGTTACCTATAAGGAAGAGATGCCCAACCCTCTTATTTATAGCTACCTTAAGTCCTCTCCACTTCACTTCAAGCATTTCCTCCTTTTATCCACACAACTGTCAACCCTGGCTTGCCTGTGGAGTGTAAATTTGCAGAAGTACTTGGTAAATACCAAACTATAACGTATTCCTTTGCTTCCGTTGAAACTTAAAATAAATGAAATTGATTGAAATGATGACTTTGAGCATCCCCAGTAATTGAGTTTTAAAAATATATTGGCTTAATTATAAGAGAAGATGCGCCACCCTACTAGTTGTCAGGGAAATGACAAATAGAAACAACAACAGGATACCATTTGTCACCTAGCAGATTGGCAAGGATTAAGAAGCCTGATAATATCAAGTAATGATGAGGATGAGTGGAAACAGAACCTCTCACTCACTGCTTGTAGAAGTGCAAATTGGTATGACCACTTTGTAGTATCCATTAAAATCAAAAGGATGCCTACTTTCACCTCAGCAGTTCCATTTCTAGGTAGAGATCCTGGAGAAATTCTTGCACATGTATATATGAAGACACATACATCATTGTCTGTAAGTGTGAGAAAGTCAAACCACCATACAAGTGACACTATATAGTTTAAATGAATGAGCTTACAGTGGTTCTCAACCTTCCCAATCCTGCGACCCTTTCATACAGTTCCTCATGTTGTGGTGACTCCCAACCATAAAATTATTTTTGTTGCTACTTCATAACTGTAATTTTGCTACTGTTATGTCTTAGGTGACCCCTGTGAAAGAGTCGTTAGACCCACAAAGGTATTGCAATCCACAGGTTGAGAACCGCTGGCTTAGAAGTATGTAATAACATAAACAAATCATAAAGTTGAGTGAAAAAAGCAAGTTGTGGAGTGACTTAGAGTCTATGAAAATGATCTATTTAAATTAAGAAGTGCACCCACAAAATCATACCTTGCAAACTAGACCTTTGGGAAAGTGGAACAGGGAATGGACTGGGAAAGAGAATAAAAAGGACTGCAGCTTGATCTATATTTTATTTCTTGTATTAAAAAAGATATTTGAGCCCTTGCCAGTTTGGCTCAGTAGTTAGAGCACTGGCCCGCGGACCAGAGAGTCCTGGGTTTGATTCCCACTAAGGGCATGTACCTTGGTTTCAGTTTGTCCTCGGCCCTGGTTGGGGTTGTGTGGGCGGCAGCCACTCAATGTTTCTCTCTCTTTCTTCCCCCCTCTCTCCCTTCTGCTCTATCTGAAGATAAATGCAAAAAAAAAAAAAAAAAAAAGATATTTGAACCCAGCCAGTGTGGCTCAGGGGATTGAGTGTCATCCCATGGACTGAGCATTCCTACTTCTATTCTGGGTCAGGGCACATGCCCAGTCGGGGGCATGCAGGAGGCAGCCAATTGATGTTTCTCTCTCATATTAATATTTCTCTCTCTCTCGCTAAAAAAATCAATAAAAACATATTTTATAAAAGATATTTGAAGTATCTTTTATACTAACTATCATGCTGGCAGTTCTGGATGGTGGGTGTTTGCTAGATTATTTTTTGTGTTTCTCTGTAGTTTTACAATGTAGTAGAAATGGCTTTGGGTGGGCTTTTCCAAATGCAAAATAGAAAGGCATTCTGTTACAATCCCTCTTTTTGGAAGCAGCACTTTCCCAGGCATGAATGCCTGGCTCAGCAGAAATTGTTATAAGGGGACTTTTACACGACACATGTTCCCTGGTAAGAAACAAAGGAATTTTACTCCATCTTGCTGATGAGGATAAAATAAAAAAAAAAGACTTGGAAGTTAGGAAAAAAAACCCAACATTTTTCTGCTAGAGAGTGAGAAGAGAGAGAGGGAGAGGGATAGCAAGGGTTTGAATAAAAGGAAAATGAACAGAGCTAGGCTAAAATAAGAGGATTGTAAAATATCCTTAGTGCTTTGGCTTTCAAACCTCCAGTGAAGAGGTGCCTGTCCTGCTCCTTCAGTTTGGCAGAAAACTAGGGCCCTAAATAAGATGAGTGGGTGTTCAGGTGCAGTTATTTAAGGGGTTCTAGGATGGCCCCTTGCTCCCAAGTAAACACTCATTGGTAAAAAACATTTTCAAGCTGTACGAAAATCTTGACTTCATTTTGTTAATGTACTTTAACTGCACCAACTGAACCAGTTATGTGATTTAACCAGCTAACTTTTAAAGATGCAGGTAACTAAATCTGGCAATCACCAATGGGCCATTTGCCTATTTCACTGCCTGCACTCTTCCTTGTTTCTCCCTACTCTCTCTTCTGGCCAATCAGGTTGTGGGGGGACCTTAGAAGGGAAGGGGAGATTGAGGAAATGAAAATGCTTGACTGGAAGAGTGGGCCGTAGCAGACTGGAACAACCTGAAGAAGATGGAGTTTGAAATGTCAAAAGACACCATTCATTCTCATTACCTCACCCTTATTCCCTATCCCATGTGGCCAATTCCAGGGCATTAATTAATTCATTATCCATTTATTGAATATCTACAATGTGCCAGACACTGTGGTAACAGTCAGCATAGATCATAAGAGAGTTCAACCTGCTAAAGAAATGACTTGTAAGGGCAATGGGAGAGGAGATAAGCTTTTGGTTGACTAAATGATTTGATGAACTAGGAAGAGGAACCATGTCTTATATCAGATTGCCTTATAAAGTTAGGTCTTACTATCAAATACACAAAATTAAAAAACTAAACAAAAACCCAGCCCTGGCCAGTTTGTCTCAATTCCCGGTCTAGGGCAGGTACCTAGGTTACAGGTTCAATTCCGACTCGGGTCGGTGTCATGCGCGACGCCAAACCAATCGATGTGTCTCTCTCCTGTCAATGTTTCACTCTCTCTCTCTCCCTCCCTCCCTTACACTCTCTCTAAAAATCAATGAAAAAATGTTCTCAGGTGAGGATTAACAAAAACAAATAAACAAACAAAAACAAAATAAAAGAAAGGAAGTCTCTTCTCAGACTCTGACCAAGTGACATGGAGACAAAGACCACTAAATGTTCCCCTTAGAACCAGAGTCAAGGCAGGCAACCCTAATAGGCCATCAATAATGCCATCCTGGCCCTGGCCGGTATGGCTCAGCGGTTAGTGTCGGCCTGTAGTCTGGAGAGACCCAGGTTCGGTTCTCGCTAAGGGCACGTACCTCGGTTGCAGTTTGTCCCCGGCCCTGGTTGGGTTGTGTGGGTGGCAGCCACTCAATGTCTCCCTTTCACGTTGATGTTTCTCTCTGTCTCTCTCTCCCTCCCGCTCTATCTGAACAAAATATCGAAAAATGTCCTCGGGTGAGAATTAAAAATAATAATAATAATAATAATAATAATAATAATGCCATCCTGGTCCCCACATGTTAAGCTCTTGTCTGATTGGCCAGGGCAACAATGTTCCCTTTTCTATTCTTCCCCCCACCCCTAAACACATGCACAGTAGTTTTTGCCAATGAGACTGGATAAGCTGGTGAATAGCAGTAACCCCTTCTTTTCAGCCACATGAATATTACACAAACCCTGGATATATATAGTTAGAACTGCCAACACTTCAACCTAATACAGGTTAGCAGACAAACACAAACTCATGAAGTGGTTACACATTAAAGAGTTGGTGTTTGTTATGAACAATTTCAGAGCTACAGGGATCCAAACCAATGCTTATACAGCTAGACGAGCAGTTGTGTTGTAAAGTTGGGTGAGGTTATACTATTTGATGAATTTGAAAGCCATCTATTGCATTAGGTATTATTCATTTATTACAAGTACCTAGTTCCTAATAGACTTTCCTGGGTGTATTCTTTTGATCATTAACCCAAATAAGCAGATATTTCAGCATCACAATGGTGGGCAGAGTCCTGGACTGTGGAGCCAGAAGCCCTGGTTTCAAGCTCCAGGTCTGGCATTAATTGTGTTTGTGGACAAGTTATTTAACCACTCCATTCTCTGAACATTTGGGATGTTTATGCTTTGCTGAAATCCATGATCATAGGCTTTACCACTATCCCCAGCTAACTATTTTACAAATTCATGGTCAGGAAAGAATAGAGATGAATCAGTCTAATGATGGACCAAAGGTATCATCTTTATATAAGAAGGATGGCACCATGATTAATCAATCACTTTGCTTTCTAACCTATGCCTAGCCGTTGACTGAAATACTACCTTTTAGTTTCCAGAAAAAAAAACAATCTTGCAGGAAAAAAATTATTCGCAAACTTAGCCCGGGTAACTATCTGTTCTTCCTCTCCCATCTATCAAATCTTCTCCACTCCCACTGTCACCAGTCTATTTTAAGTGCCCTCAGCTGTCACATGGACTAGTGCAATACGTTCCTAACTGGTCCTGCCATCCCCCCTCTAGTCTTCCTCCTCTCTACTCATCCTACCCCGCCTCCAGGTGACAATTATTCCCGTTGAATTGCTTTAATCACAGAACTTCCCCTTCAAAAATCTCTCACGGTTACCCTTACATACCAAGTAAAGTCCAAACTCCTTAACCTGGCCCTCCAACATCAGATACTGACCCACTTTTCTGGCTGTTTTTCCCATTACTGCCAGAAATACCTTATGCTCTAGTCATGCTGCATGCCTTCCCACCCTTGTGCTTTTGCTCATGACATTACCTTCAATATCTTTCTCCTCATCTTTGCCCAGCAAACTCAACTCATTCTCCTAAAATGAAACTCAGATGATTTTCTCCTTTGTGAAGTCTTCACATCTCTTCCTCTTCATCCCTCATCAAAAGTATTTATTTCTATAGCGCTTCAACTACGGCAATCACATGCTATGGACTCATTAGTCTCATTCTTCTATTGCTTTGTAAGTTCTGGGGCACAGGGACCATGCCCCTTTCATCCTTGCCTTATCCCCAGTATCTTGCACACAGTGGGTACTTGATGAAGACTTGCTAAATTAATGTCAAATAAAGGCAGAGAGAAAGGTAGGATAATGTAAGAGAGGGTGAGGTTTGAAGTCAGAAAGCTAGGCAGTGGAGCTCAGCTCTGTCACTGATGAATGGTATGGCCAGTCTGAGTCCAACTCTGCTTCTGTAAAATGGGCATATTTCCCATGCTAAGGTAGTTTTAAAAAAAATCAATGATGTACATATACATACATAAAATAACTATATAGAAGTGATAGATATGTAATTAGCTTGACTGAGGTAATCATTTCAAAATGTATATCAAAATATCAGCTTGTATACCTTAAATGTATACAATTTCTGCCCGGTTGGTGTGGTTCAGTGGTTGAGCATCGACCATGCACCAGGAGGTCGCCAGTTTGATTCCTGGTCAGGGCACATGCCCAGGTTGTGGGCCAAATCTCCAGTGGGGGGCATGCAGGATGTGGCCAGTCAATGTTCTCTCATTGATGTTTCTACATCTCTCTCTAAAATCAATAAAAGAAAAACGTTAATTAATTAATTAATTAAAAATCCAATGATAGCCCTGACCAATTTGGCTCAGCAGTTAGAGCATTGGCCTGCGGACTGAGGTGTCTCAGGTTTGATTCCTGGTCAAGGGCACGTACCTGGGCTGTAGGTTTGATCCCTGGCCCTGGTGGGGGTCATGTGGGAGGCAACCAGTCAATGTATCTCTCTCACATCAATGTCTTTTTTTTTTCTCTCTCTCTCTCCCTTCGACTTTGTTCCACTCTAAGAAGCAATGGAAAATATCCTTGGGTGAGGATTAAAAAAAAAAAAAATTCAGTGATGTATATATACTAGGTGGTTATAAAAGCCAGAACACTTAAACCAGCCTTTGTAGTTCTGCCTTCCTCCCTGGGTATGCATTCCTAAGGAAGATTTCAGTGCGATTTGTGGAGAAACAGTGAAGTGGGGAAAAGATGAGTTATTAAAACTCAGCTGTTTACAGACTTCTGGCCAGAAGATGCAAAGGGCAAGGGAGGAAAGAGAGCCTTGAAAGAAATGCCTGGTAATCTCACTATCTTCCCTCCCCAGAGGAAGACAAGGTGACTTTACCCCCCAGGCAGAGGTGAGACCTGGCCTGGAGGAATCAGTGATAAGGTTGATTCTGTCTTGCTAGTCAGCTGTGGAGTAAGCCTTCCAGTTCTGGCCTCCCAGAGTCAAAAGGCAAAATTCTTTGTTAATCTCCAAGGCTGAACAATGTGGTCAAGACTGTGGGCTGTTTGTCTAATTCAGAGACAAGGCCAGTCTTCAGAGTTGGCACTGTGTTCCCCAATGAGGAAGACAGGGACCATCCTTTGTAACATAGAAATAGCTCCTCTTCCTGAAATTCCATCACTTACCATTTCATTATTTTAGGCTTTGTTCCCAGCCAAAATGAAAATATCTGTGAGCTTTGAGGAAACTTTAAGACTCGTCTGGCATTATCCTTTCCTAAGAAGCAGCTGTTAGAGGTAAGCCCAAAGCCCTGACAGAAGAGTGAAGCCAGTGGGCAGTGAGCGTGGAGTGAGCAGTAGGCACGGGGAGGGAAAGCTGCGGACCCTAAAGGCACGTTTCATTTAGGTGTGCATGTGTGTAGAAACCTGTGGCCTTTTTGTGGCAATGGATTGAGCCCTCTGCCCCTACCAAACACTCTTTTGGGGGCTTTGGTCACACAGATAGTTACAGAGTTACATACTCAAGCCTTCAAAGGGGTCTCTCCTAGGCTAGCCAAGGCAGATTCCAAGTTGGTGGACAGTGGGAATGGTTAGGAGCCATCCCCCAAATCTCTTTTGCCCCGTTCTACCTACTCGCAGGTCCAACCCGGTGAGCCTTTCTGGGCCAGGGCCAGCCCCACGAATCCGCACCCGGAGAAGCAGGAATCCCAAGATCACGTGACAAACTTGGGGTCTGCGCTTTGGGGCCCTACTTGTCACCTTTCGGCCAAACTGCCCCAAGGGCCTCCCACGGGATCAGGAAAGGGGCTGGGGCTCACTGCAGGGCCCTGTCCCAGGAACCGCGCGGTCCCCCCCCACCCGCGCACCCCGCCCTTACTTGCGGTAGGCGGTGAGCTGCACGGCGCTGTAGGGGAAGAGGCGCAGGCATGCCATCGTGTTCCCTTTCCACAGGGCCCGGGGCCCCTCGGCCCGCCACACGCCGAGCCCCACGGCCCACAGCCCCCGGCCGCGACCCCGCACCACGCCGACCTGGGCCAGCACGGTGGCGAGCTCCAGAGGCGCGGTGAGGCTCAAGCTCAGCGCCCCAGCCAGCCCGGCGCACAGCAGCCTCTGGCTGCCAGTTAGCCGGCCGTCACGCCGCCATGTCGCCATCGCGCCCTGCCGCCGAGCCCGGCCCGGGACAGTGGGACACTGCGGGCCTCGGGCCTGGGGCTCCCGGGCTCTCAGCGGAGGGGGCGGGCAAGGCCCGCCCGCAGGGGGGGCGGACTCGGGTCAGGCGGGGGAGGCGGGTCCCGCCCTGGCGGCTTCAGGGTGGGGCTGGTGGGGCGGAGGAGGCAGCCCGAGTGGAGGCCTCCCGGATTTCAGATCTGCTCTGCAGTTGGCAAGTTTCTGTTTGCTGTTGAGAAAGAGTCACCGTGCTCCCTTCAGGCCCAGCCAGAATTTTTGTTTCCCAAGTATTCAGGGCTGCCTCTCTTCTTGTTTAACCTGTAAGGGTTCAGAACCAGTTACCATAGAATATGCTTGTGTGGTATGCAGATTATTTTGAGCTAAAAGCAAGAACAGACACCTTGCAGGCTCATGAGAAACTTTTACTTCCTCCTTAAAGAATTTAAATTAAGACTCTTACCCATAATGAGAGTTATCATTAGAAATTACTTTTTTGGCCTACCTATAGGGCAGGGCAAACTTCTAATTACTGAATACCTGTTCCTTTTATCCTCCTGGGAATGACCTTCCCCTCTGGAGCCCCAAGGGCCTTACCTCATCCTTAGCTCATAATGTCGTATATAGCTCATTTTCCCTTTCTGTCTCTGAACCACTCATGTAGGGGGGGGGCTCTGACTCTCTCATGTATGTGAGGTTCCCATACATATGTATGTAATTAAGTTTAGTAATTTTCTCTTGTTAATCTGTTTCATGTTTATTTAATTAGTAGACTGAAGGAACCTAGGAAGGTAGAGGAAAGTTTCTTCCTCCACCACAACCCCTCTACTCCCCTTCCACATACCACCTCACCCCTTTCTCCCCTGACTTCTGTTCTCTTTCTTCCAACCCCCTTTTTTTCTTACCCCAAGACAAAGCCATGCAGATTTCTTAGTTGCAGAAGGAAAAATCTATAACACACACAATTGCTACCTATCAGACACTTGTCAAGTATTGGACATTACATGTATTATCTCATTTTATCCTCATGACAGCCCTTAGAAGGTATGCCCTCATTTATTGCCTTCATTTGAAGAGGCTGTCAGTGTGGTGGTTAGAGCCTGGACTCTGGAACCTGCATTAGAATTTTGGCATTGCCACTTACCAGCTGTGTGCCCCTGGGGAAGTCACTCATCCATCCTCTTTGTGCCTCAGGTGCTCCATCTATAGTTTCTTCCTCTAGGGCAGCGTTTCTTAACCTGTGGGTCATGACCCCTTTAGAGCTCGAACAACCCTTTCACAAGGGTCGCCTAAGACTATCAGAAAACACATATTTCTGATGATCTTAGATACTGAGACACCACTCCTCTCTGCGTCTCCAGGCGGGTCCGCCCACATGCAGATATGCCCACATACAACATGAGGAACTGTATTAAAGGGTCAGTGCATTAGGAAGGTTGAGAGCCACTGCTCTAGGGGGTGTTATAAGGATTAAATGTACATGACTGATACAGGTAAACACTATATATGTGTTAACTATGATTATTTTACAGGTGAGGAAACCAAGACAGAAAGGTTGACATGCTCAAGGTCACACAGCTACTACCAGGCAGTCAGGATTCAGATCTAGGTCAGTTTTGTACCAACACCCACTATCAGCTACATTACATGTCCACCTGACTGAAGCGCGTAACTCAAGTAAGAACATTTTCAATGGTTCGCTTAACTAAGAGAACAATAGAAGGAAAGAAGAGCTAAAACTGAGTTGGCAAGAATCCAAGACAGATTTTGATAAATTTCTTTTAAAAATATAAATTTTCCTGTCTCTTTAATTTTTTTTTTAGAGTAGAAATAAATACAGAAGTTTAATATTGGTTTATTGATGACTCAAGAACAGGCTATGAATATATTTCTAAAAATGTGTTTACATATCAATTAAAAAATAAGTCATGTGTCATAGCAAATAAATGGGATTGGAAATGTGTTTTACTGTACATGAATTGGGATCTTGTGATGTTCCCTTGGCAGGATATGGTATACTTGTGTAAACTCAGCATACCAAGAGTGTGATGTCAAGTAGAAATTAGAATTGGTCATTTTCCCAGTGTGTTCCATATATATCACATATCCTGAGGACATGTTTTTAGCCACATATGGGTATATGGGGGTTGTGTTGAACCGTGGTGGTGTGAGGGGTAGTGGTCGATACTCTAAACTGTGGTTTTTATGGTATAAACCCGGCAGAGGAATCAGAACTGATATCAATAGTAAAAATAAAAAGGAAAGGGGCAGTCAGCAGTCCCTTAATATAAGACATACCAGGTACACAATTGCTTATATGGTTATGTTCTACATTTATTTAATGGCACACATAATAAAGGAACCTTTTCTAAAAGGCATTGTTGGCCTTGTCCGTTGTGGCTTACTTGGTTTGAGCATCGTCCTGTGCACTGAAAGATTGAGGATTCAATTCCTGATTAGGGCACATACCCAGGTTTTGGGTTTGATCCGCAGTTGGGGAATGTATGGGAGGCAACTAATTGAGAAGCATTCAATCTCTGACATCAATGTTTCTCTCTTTCCCTCTCCCTTCCTCACTCTCTAAAATCAATAATAACATATCCTCGGGTGAGGATTTAAATAAATAAATAAATAAATAAATAAATAAATAAATAAATAGATAGCATTGTAAATTTTAGATTGAGAGGACTTACTCTATTACAAAAGCCTTGCTCTGTTTTCAACAGTTGTGTGTCAATGTAAGAAATGTCCAAACCTGTAGAAAATTTTTATAAGAGTTTATCTTGTCCGGCCGGTGTGACTCAGTGGTTGGGTGTCAACCCATGCACCAGGAGGTCACCAGTTCAGTTCCCAGACAGGACACATGCCCAGGTTGTGGGCCCGATCCCCAATGGGGGACATGCAGTAGGCAGCCAATCGATGTTCTCTCTCATCGATGTTTCTCTCTCTCTCTCCCTTTCACTTCCTCTCTCTCTAAAAATCAATAAAGGGGAAAAATTAAAAAACAGAAGAAAGAGTTTATCTGAGGCAAACAGAGGATACTACCTGGAAGCAAGATCTCAACAGACTGATAAATGCTTCAGAGGATAACAGTAAATTCATAATTTTAGTAGCTTTATGCATTTCTTCCTTTAGAATATATTTAAATAATTGATTGGCCAGAGTTGCTAGTTTATCGGCATGTGTGATTGCCCAGTTTATTTCATGTTATTTAATCAGAATTACAAGCTCCTCATCTAATCCTTCCAGAAATGCTGAGTTAAGCATTATATCATTTTGATGATTCTTAAAACTGTCTGGAGACAATCTTGAATATTGTTTGAAAGATTTTTTAAAATACTCAAATAGTCCTGCCAGGTTTGGCTCAGTGGTTTAAGTGTCAGCTGGCAGACCAAAGAGTCCCAGGTTCGATTCCAGCCAAGGGCACGTACTTTGGTTGTGGTTCCGCTCCCAGCCCTGGTCAGGGTCGTGCAGGAGGCAGCCAATTAATGTATTTCTCTCACATCGATGCCTCTCTCTCTCTTTCTCTCCCTTCCTCCCACTCTATCTGAAGAAAAATGGAAAAATATCCTCAGGTGAGGATTTAAAAAACAAAACAAAACAACAAAAAGTTCTAAGAAAGCAAGTATGTTTTCATCAGGTTTTTGCCTACATTGCTAGATTTTTGTTCAGTCTATTTTCCAGAGGAAAATCTCAGGGATGGCTTGGTGAAGCTGATGGGCTAGTTGCCTGCATTTCCCTTGGTCTGTTTCTCTTTGTTTTAAAAAAATCCTCTATAGGGGTTTTCAAGCAGACCTTACCTAGCCATTCTGCTACTTTGCTCTTAGAAACCAATAGGTGTATTAGTTGGAACAGGTCAGAATAACCAGGATTATATATTCTAACAATTAAATAAAATTCCTTTGCCAACCCAACAATGTCTTAGAGAGAATAAGGACAATGGAATACTATGCTAGTGTAAGAAAGAAAGATCTCTTATCCTTTGAATGATGACATGGAGGGACCTGGAGAGTATTATGCTAAGCAAAACAATCCAGTCAGAGAAAGACAGGTATCACATGATCTCACTTAATTGTGGGTTATAATGAACAAGACAAGCTGAAGAGCAAAATAGACCCAGAGACATGGAAGTGGGGTTCAGACTGACAAACCTCAGAAGAGGTGGATGTGTTAACCACAGAACTTATACACAAGTATCCATAGACAAGGACATAGACAATAAGACTGGGGGGGGGAATTGGGAGGAGGGTGTCAATAAGGAAAAAAAGGAGAAACATTTTTAACAAAAATAAATAAATAAACATTATTTAATAGTAAAAAAAAAATTTGGTGCATGTGGGTACATCCTTCCTCACATTTTTTAAAATGCTCAGACAAAAATATATTTATTTTTTCCTTTATCTCCCCCCCCCCATTTCTTTCTTTCCTTTTTTACTTTTTTTCTTTAAATCTTCACCTAAGGACATTTTAAAAAAATTTGTCTTCAGATAGAACGAGGTATGGGGGAGAGAAAGAAAGAAATCATGTGAGAGAAATACATGAATTGACTGACTCCCACATGACCACAACCACTGCTGGCCAGGGACAAACTGCAACTGACATAAGTGCCCTTGACTGGAATCAAACCTGCAACTCTTAGGTCCCGGGGCCGACACTCTAACCATTGAGCCAAACTGGCCAGGACTCCCTCCCTTTCTTTTCAACAAAAATGAGATAATCCCTCCGGGAGGATATCCAAAAGACTGGTAACCAGATTATCTCTAGGGAAAGAAACTGGGAGACTTAGGAACAGAGGTGGAAGGAAGATAGACGTTTGATGGTGTGCCTTTTTGCACTGTTTGCTTTTTTCCCCCTCTTTTCTTTTTACCATGGATATGTATTATCAATTGAAAAAATTTCTCCTGCCCAGCTGGTGTAGGTCAGTGGATTAAGCATCATCACATGTACTGAGAGGTACTGGTTCAATTCCCAGTCAGGGCACATGCCCAGGTTTCGGACTCAATCCCCAG